CATATCACCGAACGCTCCCTCATGAAAGACAACATCGGCATACAGCATGGAGTCATCTTCCAATATTGGCCAACAGTGAATCCAAAACTCTTTCGGAAAGGAGTCCAGTCCGTTTTTTTTTTCATCGTCCATCCCCTGAAGAGCCTGAAAGATCTCTCCACGCGAGAGTGGAGTGTCAATAGCGGTCCTCTGAGAAGTGGCGATCAGGGAGGGGAGGGAGGCCAACAATGTCTCTCTTGCATGCTCCAGTGTATGAGGCTCGGTCCGCGTTGTTGGTGAGGTGAACAAGTGTTTGTAATACTGGGAGGCATATTCCACTATTTTGTATGCATTGGTGGACTGGGGTTGGGATCCATCAAAGGGGTGATTGAGGGACGGTACCGTGTTTTGCACTTGGCCTTAGCCTTATTAAAAAAGGTCTTTGTCATCATGCCCTCTGTGGAATCCTTTGTTATTATCGCCTGAAGTCTTCACTTTTGAGCCCACTCGTCCAGGAATTCTTGGAGTTAGGCTCTAGCTTGTTGAAGCATGTCATAGGTTCCAAGGTCTGTTGGGTCATCATTTAACTTGTCGTCCCATTGTTCAAGTTGCTGCAGTAGTCGGTCAAGGATCACCTTACATTCACGGGCGTGTTGAATATAAATTTTTTTAACTCTTTCTCTCAGGTAAGCGATCCCCTCATTAAACCATTGGACGATTGACCCTTCTTGAGGTTTAGTGGTTGTCCAATAGGCCCAGAACTCGCACACGAGTTGTTGAAATTATTGGAGTTTTAACAGGGACGTGTTAAATTTGAAGTACCCAAGACCCCGACGACTGTGTTCGTGGAAGGAGATGCCTACTGCGATCATACAGTGGTCGAAGGATTTGCAGGATGAGAAGGGTATGGTTTCGGCTTCGGTCATCAGCCCTTGGAGGGCATCCGAGATAAGGATAAGATCTATTCTCGAGTTCGAAATCCCTACCGCACCCTTCGACCAGACGCATGTGTAGACTCGTTTATTTGGATGCAACATTCTGTATGTGTCAATGAGACTCGTGTCTGACATCATGCGAGCAAGCATGGTACAGTCTTGTCCTCTCTCATTTTGAGGAGTCTACCTGATGGTAATTGGGTGGGAGACCTCCTATCCATGTTTCGGTCAAGGGCGCAGTTGAGGTCGCCACATTATTATTGGAGCATTCATGGGAAGGAGATGTTGGAAGGACATAAAAAAATGGATTCTATGGCGGACCCACCAGGTGTGGTGCTCCGCCTGGGATGGAGATGGAGATGGAGGATGAAAGTGGAACAAGATGGCACAATGCAGCTCCCACGCGAGACTCCAACGCACGTACTCCAAACTGTGCGAATGTAAAATGATCCGACATACAAACTATGGCTAGGGTATATGCCAACAAACTGACTGAACTGGACTGGACTGGCTGGTACCGACAGAGGTACCGGCCTGGACTGGACTACCCCAAATACAACACAGGCCTGTGAGAACAGGCCAAGGGGCTGGTCTCACAGGCTAACTAGAGGTCCGCTACATGATCCTCGGCCTGTGATGGATCGCCTAGATACAAGCACGCTTCCGCCAAGAAGCGGAACTCTACCAAAGAAAAAGAAAAAAACCGAGTAGTCTAGGATAGGGAGCAAGCTCCATGCCGAGTCCATGCGATGCAACCTAGGATAGAAAATGTCACAAAAACAGCAATGTCACAGCTAACAGCCTAAGTGAAAGCAGAAGCAAGTGACTAGTATACATGTCCTAGGAAAGCTGAAAGTAATGACAACTAAATCCTAGAATGTTGGAGGCAGTAGCCTCAGTCTGGATACAACTGACTAGTGTATAAGTCCTAAGAACAACAAAAACAAAAAAAACTAAATCATAGAAATGTTAGAGGCCGTAGCCTCTGTCTGAGAGCAACAAAGCAACAACAAGACAACCATATGTCACGGGAGGAGTGTGTCGCAACCAACGGGTGGGATGGTCTCTGAGGGTGGTGAATGCAGCCGAGGGGTCGATAAACTCCTACGGGCATCCACACGTAATGACAGGGAGACACATGTCATCAGGCTCAATGAGGGTAAGGAACTGGGAGCGAACATAAATGACCCTAGTAGATAGATCATCAGGGCGAGTGATGCTCGACTAAAGGGGTGACCGCTATGGAGGGTCGACCATGCAAGGGAGTAAGGAAGCCTGGTATACTGGCGCACCTAGATGAAGCATGCAAGGCTGCCTAACTATGGCGGGAGGGCCGGCAGAGGGTAAAAAAAGTGATGGGAAGGGAATCATGCAAATGGCTCCTAAAGTGAGGGAAGTCGGAGCTAGATCCGTAAGTTAGGAAGCCAGGGCAACGCTACGGTCCCGATGTCTATGCGTATACCACGGGAGAGCCCAACTCAGAGGAACCCAGCGAAGGGAGACCATCATGCGACACAAACAGGGTACTGGATAGGGTAAGGTGGTAAGAGAGTGACGACGTCTGAAGTAGGCAGAGCTGATCGTGACGAAGTCCATGAAGCTGTCAATGACGTCCATGATGACAAGTTTGGAATGTCGTCGAGGAAGAGCCGCAACGTCGACGAGCTGAAGTGGAAAAACTGGAGTGGATGGAGTATTGAGAAGTCAAAGACGTGGGAAGATAAGTGAGTCAATCGTCCTATCGAGCAGGACGACGACGAGTGCGCTGTGGACGCTCAGAAGCATCCGGCTGCTGCTGAAGGTCTGCCTCAGATGGAGCAGGGTCGACTTCAGTAGTCTCCTCAACCGAGGGAGAAGGAGGAGGGTCAATGGGCTGAGAAGGAGCAGTCAACCCATTACGACGAGCACGGTCATAGACACACCAACATGCGAGTGTGCTGCAAGTGCTCGAGGGGCTCCCAGGTAGCCTCCTCATCAGGGTAACCCTTCCAACGTACGAGATACTCAAGGTGAGGAGGGTTGTCACCGGTGACTCGACGACCAATGATGTCTAAAACGACGAACTCCTCGTGGCCGTCCACCACGATGGGTGGAGGGCGCTCGTATGGTCGTCCAACGAAACGCTCAGACGATCTGCGATAAGGACGCAGTAACGAGACGTGGTAGACATCGTGCACACGAGCCTGGCGTAGGTAGTCGGGCAACTTCACATGGAAGCTGACCGGGCTAGAAGCCGTATCAGAACCGACGGCCTGGAGAATGCGGCATGGGCCAAAGAAGCAACGTCGAAACTTGCGAAGCGTGTCCGCTTCGAGTTGTAAGTGGTGGGCGTCGATCAGCACATCATCACCGACTTTGACGAGATGATCCATCCTCGATCGGTTCGCACGTGCTGCCATGCGAATCTGGGAAGCGACTATGTTCTCATGCGCGGTCTTCATGATCGACGTCATGTGTGCAACCCAATCATCCAGCGCGGGACAACTCGTGTCTGGGTGCATCTGTGACGATCAAAGGAAGTCTGCGGAAACACGAGGGTGATAGCCGAGGTCGCAATATTAAGGCAACATCCCCATGGTTGGCGAGACGACGTGGTTGTAGGCCATCTCCGCGTGGGCAAGATGGAGATCCCACTGCTGGTCGTCACGAACAATCGTTCGGAGAATATCTCCGAGAGTCCTGTTCGTGACCTCGGTCTGACCATCAGTCTGAGGATGGTAAGACGAGGACAAGCGGAGCTGGGTGTCGTACACCTCGTGGAGTTGTCGCCCCGACTGGTAAAGCACGGGTCACGGTCAGATATGATGCTCAGAGGTAAGCCGTGGTCACGCACGACTCGGTAAAACACGATGTCAGCGACCTCACGTGCATTGATGGTATAGCGGCACGGAACAAAGCGTGCGCGCTTCGAAAAGCGGTCGACGACGACCAAGATAGCATCATGATCGTCGAGGGTCGGAGGAAGAAGAGGACCGATAAAGTCCATCGAGATGGACTGCCAACGACCCTCAGGGATAGGAAGAGGCTGGAGCAAACCATAAGGCAGGTGGTTCGCACTGTTCACCTCCTGACAGGTGGGACACTCTGCGACGTAGTCCTTCACAAAGTTTTTGCGCTTCGGCCATACGTACAGGCGGCTCCCACGAGCCAACGTCTTGTGGAAGCCCATATGACCGACGGCTGCTTGGTCATGGAACTCTGCTACTGCCCGGACACGTAGTTGTCCAGTGGAGGGAACACAAATACGGGGCTCTCTAGTACCCTGTGAACCGTGCTAGTACACAAAACCGTTGTCCCCGAGAGAATAGTTCGGGACAGTCTTGCCACTCTGAAGAATCGCATGGATGTCGTGATAGTCTGGGCAGTGGCGGTACTGAGTGCGAAACTTGTCAGTCACCGAGTGGTGGACGGTGGTTACCGAGATGGCAGCGAGTTGGATCTGCTCCAGATTATGGTAAGGACGCCGAGATAAGGCATCTGCGACCCGATTGGTCTCACCCTTGATGTGCTCAGTGGTGAAACTAAACTCGGATAGGTCGCGCCACCAGTGAGCCTGTCGAAGAGTGAGCTTCGACTTTGTCAGAAAAGTCTGGACAACAAAATTGTCCGCGAGCACCATGAATGGTGCCCCGTGTAGGTAGTGACACCAGTGTCGAGTGACATAAACTACTGCGAGAACCTCACGTTCATCAGCAGTGTAGTTTATCTCAGCGGGCAGGAGCTGACGGGAGTAGAAGGCTATCGGACAATCGCCTGAGCGAGATTCGACAGTGTCGTCCTCGACGATGGTAGGCGAATAGTCAATAGAAGGCTCGTCAGTAGCTGGACGAGTAGGAGTCAGGCGGGAAGCAGTGGTAGGGGTAGGGGGTGGGAAGCGAGGGATGCGAGGATGAGAGGAATCCGGAGAGGAGGGGAAAATCTGGGAAAGTATTGTTCCTACAACAAAGTCTGACACATCGGTAGTAAGGATAAAAGGGCGATCAAAATCGAGTAGGTGAAGAATCAGTGCACATGTCACCGCCTTCTTGAGGGCGCGAAAGGCGTCCTCGCGGGTTCTTCCGAAGGAGGGTGGAGGTAAGGGAATACCTAGTGTATCCCTGGATGAAATTACTATAGTAGTTAGTGAGGCCTAGGAAGCTGCGAAACTGCTTGGAGGATGTGGGGACGGGCCACTCTGCAATAGCAGTGATCTTCGTGTCCTCCATGTGGAGACCCTGGTCAGACACGTAGTGTCCTAGGAAATTCATTTTGTGCTGGGCAAAGCGGCACTTGCTTAGCTTGGCATAGAATCCATGCCTGCGCAAGCGGTCAAGAACGTCATGGAGGTGTTTGAGATGCTGCTCAAGGGTACGACTGTAGATCAAGATATCATCGAGGTAAACGAGGACGTACTGCTCCAGAATGTCCCGTAAGATGTCGTTCATCGCCCTCTGGAAGGTAGCGGGTGCATTGGTGAGGCGGAATGGCATCACCGTAAACTCATAGTGGCCGAAGCATGATCGAAACGCTGTCTTCGGCTGGTCCGCTGCAGCGACGCGGATCTGATGGTAACCGCTACGAAGATCAATCTTCGTAAAAAAGCGGTTGCCTGCTAGGCGGTCGAACAGCTCGTCAGAACGAGGCATGAGGTAACTGTTCTTAACCGTGTAGTGGTTGAGGCCACGAGAATTGATGCAGAGACGAAGAGTTTCATCCGCTTTGCGAGCAAAGAGGACGGGTGCACCCCACGGGGAGTTGCTTGGTTTAATGAAACCCGATCTCAGGATCTCCTCAAGATGACGCTTGAGTTCAGTGTCCTCGGGGATCGAGAGTCTGTAAGGTGTCTGGTGGTGAACATGATAGTCAGGCACAAGATGGATGGAGTGCTTGACGTTGCGCATCGGTGGGATGTCGGCGTAGCAGAACGACGATGGGAAAACGTCGTGGTACTCTCGAATGAGGTCACAAACTGCGGGCTCCAGGTCTGTCGTATAGCGTGCGAGTTCCTCAACGTTAGTGTCGGCACATGACAGCGGGATGTTCTCGACGAACGGCGGAGGCAGGGAAGTAGAGATGGAAGTCATGGAGATAGAAGGAGGATCTGGCTCCAGAGCGATGAGCTCGACGTCTGGACAGGGTGGATCATAGTGCAAAAGATCCGTAACGTTCACCGTAAAGAAGGTGACGCCGTCCTGTCGGATGAAGTGGGCGAACTGCCGAGGCGAGGTGACGGTGATAGTAGGAGATGGTGTGGGCACGGAAGGCTCCGGGGGATGAGGAACGGGGCGTGGTGTCGCAGTGGTACCTATAAAAGATATGCGATACGTCCGTCCACACTTCGTTCTGAGAACGAGAGTGTTGGTCGCCCAATCGGTCTCGGTGCTTCAGAACCGACGAGACCACGGAGTATCGAGAATGAAGTCGTACCCCGTCTCCATCACATCGAAATGTGCAGAGGAGCGATGGCGACGAGATGCTGTCGAGCGCATCGGTCCTGCACTGCACAAGGGCGGGACCCTCCCGAACGCGTCATGCAGTATGATCCTCGTCACAATACACATGGAGCTTTCGCAAGCCGCTCCGACCGAGTGCGCCAGCCATACCTCTCGCGAGCCCCTACGACAGGATAGGGTCAACGCGAGGCACGACTTACCTCCACCTTACGGGAGCTGTCACCTCCCTTCAGTGGGTGTATCCCCGCCGAGCTGCCAGTCCACAATTCAAAAACTAATCAGTTGCAATCGCAGAGGTGGGCCAACTGAGGGCGTTTCTCGTTCGTTGTAGCATAGGGGGTACGCGTGGTTTCACACCTCTATCGAACCCGCACACGAACCGACGCGCTGGGGGCTGAAGTCCCATGCGCGACTCGTCGTCGGTCGACTAGAACGCATCCCACTTACCACGCGTTACACCACAACACTCACGCATACAGAACGACAAAAACCAAACAAAACAACAACACTCCTAGTCTCTTTTTGTATCAATCCCATAACCTTTTAACAACCATTTCGTCAAAATTGATATTTTTTATTTTTTGAACGAAATTGAAACTGATTTTTTTTGCCGAAAACTTGTCAAAATTTGTTGTTCCTGAGGGAACGCTGGACCTCTTGGCTGTACATGAACCTAGCTTGAGACCAGGCAATTCCAGACAGGACTGCCTGGAGGTACCTGGTCTCAAGTTAGGTCCATGTACAGCCAGGGGGTTCAACATTTTACAAACGCCGGACCCTCAGGAATAACAAATTTTGACAAGTTTTCGGCCAAAAAACTCGGTTTCAATTTCGTTCAAAAAACGATGTCAATTTTGACGAAATGGTAGTTCCGACGCGGAAATCGGATAGACGACGCGCGTGAGACTTAGTATAAAACCACGGGGACGCAAAATCTTCCCATATCGACTAGCAATGCATGCTTACACAAGTTGTCGCAACGATGGCGTACTATGTAGTACCCATAATCATGCGGTCCTCGCTAATCTCGAGGGTCACATTCGACACTTAAGTGTCGGCTGACACATGCCCTGAGGGGTTAATCTGTCGACGCTAGACAACCGCCAAGTGCGGTTGAGAACCACGACCTTTTCTGCATTCTGCGAAGATTGGGTGGTACACAGGTTCATACCTGTGGTGACAATCGTATCTTATTCCCCTGGACACCAGCTCCATCATCTAGGGCTTGGACAAAGGTCAAGGGGTTTGACTTTAATGGCTGTCACGGACTCCAACGTCCAACTATAAAAATTAACAAGCAAAATCAGTCAGAAAAATAATCAAGCATATCAATACTCATATATCAAATCAGTGCTCGAGGTAAAGTAAAGAAACAGAGACATAAACCCATCAGGTATTCAGATCGTGCGACAAATGGTTGTCATTCTCACTGCCTCCAAAGTAAGGCTCGTACACAGACTCCATGACACTAACCTGTATAAAACACAGACACAGACAAACATCAGATTGCCATACACCAATGTGGTCAACTTTACTGTTCCCTGTAACTCACATCACGCCTCACACACTCAAACCCCATTCATAATCCGATTTTCCATAAATCTCATAAGTTCTTTAAAATGGACATTAAACGAAGGTCGGTTAAAACCCTCAAAGAAGCATATCAATCTCAGGGCTAAGGCATCAAGTTGAAGCACAGGTATAAGCAAACTTGTGTCGTAAGCCGACAAGCCGGCGATCAACCAATCGACCTGTTATCAGTGATATCAGAAGATGATTCTTGTGAGATCAAGCTGAATTTAGTCCAAATCTTGAATCGAATAAATCAAGAGGACCTGTAACACAAGACAGACCAATCCCCAAGCTAAATCTATAAGCCCATGGAGAAATAATCTCCATATCACGATCTCGCTCAGAAACTATCCTTATTAACTAAGTCTGAATCTACCTCTAAGCAAGTGCTTAAATAAATGTAGATTTTGACAAGATCTCCCCTATGCAGAGTGGATTGCCAGAATCGCCACCTATCAAAACGTAATCTACCTCCTTTAAACTAAGAAAATTTCAACAGCGCTTCGCGTAGGAAAAGTGTCTTCTCATAAATTATACCAGTCTAAATATGAAAAACTGAAATAATTATTGACTCTAGAAAGTCAAAATTTATCTAACTCCCTGGATTAGTAAAAATTTGGGCAACATCTCTTTTAAAAAGGTAGACTTTCCAAATTTATACAAAGTCAAATATGAGCTTGAACATAAGACTTGAGATCTATCAAGACAAAATTTAACTAACTCCTTAGTTTATAAAATTTCGGCAGCACTTCCCGTAGGGAAAGTAGTTTTCTAAAATTTATACAAAGTTAAGTTCAGAATCTAAAAACAACTTTGAATTTCCAAAGTCCAATTTTGTCTAACTCCCTGAATTAGCAAAAAATTGGGCAGCACTCCCTTTAGAAAATGAGACTTCCATATTTTTACTAAGCCATATAAAATTTAGACAAGCTGAGCTTTGAAAAGTCAAAATATGACAAACGCCTTGGTTTTGTACAAATTTTGGCAGCGCTTCCCATAGAGAAAGTAACTTATCAAGATTTATACAAGACCAAGTATAACAAATGATCCCAGAAAATGCGAAAATTGACCTAAGTAAATAAAGTTAGCTTAGAAAATGCAGAAATTGAACTCTCCTATTGCTCTAGCACGTGGCGAGCCTCTAAAGCAATTACCTGTCAAACTGAAACTCAGACTAAGTAGTGATCTCACTCTGCCACATGCAAAGTCAAACCACAAAGGTAAGTACTCTCACCAACCCCAAGTTAAATCCTCATAAATAGTTCATGAAACTTTCAGATGATTTATCCCTTATACCCAACTTACTTATGTCATAGTGCTAGACCATTCAACTTAGAAATAATGTCTACCATGCCTTAGGATATACACGGACAGGTTGCACAACTACTTTTCTCTTCGTTGGGTATATGACTAGACCATTCAACTTAGAAACAATGTTTAGTCGCCTTGAATTGTTTAATATCCAAAGTTTAATAATTTTTTGCTTTTATTTTTAAAAAAAAATGCAAATATGGGTAGGGGGCTGAACCATTCAGCTTAGAAACAATGCTCAACTTGCCCAGATTACGTCCAATTATATTATGTGATTTTCCTTCTCTTCTTAGTGATATGGTTTAGCGCTGAACCATTCAACTTCGAAACAATGTTCAGCTGCCAGTTCACATGCATTTATAAATAAGGTATTTCCTGTTTTACTCAGTTTGATACTTATGTGCGTGACTTCAAGCTAAACTATTCAACTTAGAAACAATGCTTAGCCTTAGACCAGAAATCCTCCCTCAGAATGAAACAAGAGATTAAACCCTTCCTTCAGGCAAGCCTTCAGAAATAAACAGAGCAACCAGACCATTCAGCTTAGAAGCAATGCCTGACCCTTCAGAAGAACAACCAAATAAAACATAGCCATGGGCCATTCATCTTAGAAACAATGCCCAGCCCTTGATTGACCCGGTCAAACGCATGCAAACTGCCTTCCTCCCACCTTCCCCCAGTTCATCCCTTAGTCTGCTTTCAGTCCAAAAATAAAGAAAAAACTTACTTCACTCTCACACGTTCTTTCATTCAGTCTGATTGAATCATGAAAAGAAAGCAAAAGTCATAGGGGAACACATACATACAACAGTCAAAACTAGAGGGAGATAGTCAAACAGTGGTGTAGCGGGCTCATACAAACAGAAAAAAATATCTCTGTCAATTCCCTGCCTCCAGAACCTCGCCTAGGTTCCGGCAGAGCTCCCGCAATCGGTGAGCGGACTCCCCACAGAGTCTTGCTGCGGTCCTACGGGTTGCAATCCCGCCTGCCTTCTTCCTCTTTGAACAGGATTAGACTTAGATTAAGAAGGGCAAAAGATAAGGGGTTTCAGACACTCGAGATACAAAAGATAAACTCAACTCCCAGGAAAGGGCCTCGTAATCTTCATGCGCTTGAGGGCCCCTCAATGATGGTCAAAACGTACCGCAGCGGGTTGGTTAGAACCGCAATCAGTCGCAACAACAAATTTCGAACTATGACTATTACGCCAAATAACCCTCCTTAGACGATCCTCGAACTTGCAGCAATGATCCTTTATCAACAAGCTTAACTCCTTCCGCAGACTTGGCCATAGACAGATCCACAATTCTCACGGCTCACCCCTTAGCTATTTCGTTTGGTAGGATAGGTAGCGCATTCACTAACAGGCATGCCTATGCCCCTGCGGCCGGCCTGCTGTTCTACCGCTTCAATCAAGGTAAGCAACCCACGGCCCACCGGTAAGTATTCACTCCTCGCTGCTCTTCTCATTCAACGGAATAAGCAGCGAATCCGTCAATCTGGTAAGTATGCAGCCCGCAGTTCTCCTCTGGGCGTTCGCAGGCTGGTAGGATGATCAGCACATTGGTCAACAAAAAAAAAAATCAGCAGCCCCTTCAGTTGTTCTGCCGCAACTCCGTTCAACGGGTCAAGCACCCGCATCTACCTGAGAGCGGCAACCTGAGTGCTCAGCATACACTGTGTTAGTGGTAACGGTTCTAACTGGCGCCAACAGCATAAGGCATACTGCAGCAGGCCTCCAAAACAGCTCCACTCGTACTGACAACGCAGGTTACTCCACCTTCTGAGAACACCCATGCATGAAGGTACCATCCGGATAAGAGTAATACAATGAACTCGAGTGCCAAGAGCAGACGCTCTCTGGTCACACCAACACTGTATCCAAAGTCGTTCCTCCTGTCTGGCGCCCAGCACCCAGCCTACACTACTAGCCTACCTACGTTCATGCGCCTGGTCCGATCGAAGTTGAAAACTAACGTACGTGACGTCGTCACTAATGTCGATCGCCCTCAAACACCAGGTACATTCTCTCTCCTCCATTCGCCCTCCTTCGCCTCTAGCTTCTCCTCTCTGCTAATCCCCCCTTCTCATATCTCTTCCTCCTGTTTTTGTATTGCTGCTTCTGTAAAGCCCTGCCCGCGCCCCTTGTCACAAATGCAAAATACGAGTGAATATACCTCTAAAACGTGGGAAGATTCACTCAAAAGAGAACCGATGCAAGTACGGACTAAGAGGCTATCAGACACAGACTCTGCGGCGTGCATACAAGGAGG